GCTGCGAACGTCGCGTGATCTTTGACTTTATTCATGTTATTGAAAAGAATTGCCGTTTAAATCAAGCTTTAATCAAAGATAAGCGTCTTGAGTGCTTGTCACTCTTAGCTGCAAGTCAAACCCGCGATAAGGACGCACTGACTGAAGAAGGAGTTGAAGAGGTTCTAGATGAGCTAAAGAGCCAATTTGAATACATTTTATGTGATTCACCCGCTGGCATTGAGTCTGGAGCTCGCCACGCTATGTACTTTGCTGATGACGCTATTCTCGTGACAAATCCCGAGATTTCAAGCTGTCGAGATTCCGACAAAATGATTGGCTTTATTGCAAGCAAGTCATTGCGTGCAATCGAAGGTCGAGTTCCTGTCAATCAGCGATTACTAATTAATCGATACGATGCTAATCGTGTTCGAAATGAAGATTGTTTGTCTGTCGAAGATATTGAAGAGATGCTGGGGTTACCAGTGTGTGGCGTTATCCCCGAGAGTCCACACGTGTTGACTTCATCAAACATGGGTCAACCAGTTATTACTGCTGAAGGTGAAAATGCTGCAGTTGCATTTGAAGACGCAGTGGCAAGATTTTTAGGTGAGGAACGAGCGATGAAGTTCTTGCAACCAAAACCTGCAAAGAGCCTTTTCGGTAGCCTCTTTTCAAAATCGACTTAACCATGTTACGTGACACGATCACTCAAGTTTTCAGAAGGTGTCACAAACTTTTCATTGATTCTAACATGGTGTCTCAACGTCGACTCTTGTCTTTGCTCTTTGCCATTTTAAGCGCATGTAACTCCTCAGCTTCTTGTTGCTCAAGTTCCAACGCGTTCAGCCGGTCCAGCACTACATGTAAGCAAATTCACATTAGTAACAAGATGTCGAGACATTATATCACTCATACCTGGCAGGAGCTCCTTATCACGAGCTTCGGCAAGCAGAAATCCTTCCCGTTTAATCTCTTTCGCGTTCAGTTCATGCTCCACGGTACTCGGACGCTTCATCACTTCTGTAGCT